CAATCAGTGACTCCCTATTCATAAAATTGGCTTGAAAAAGGTATGTCCGCTGATCGTCAGCTGACCGCTCTAAGCCAATCATTTGCGCCGCAGCCTGTCTGCCTTCCGGTTTCCTGGTTTTGATAAATGAAAGGACCGAGAGGCAGGGAGATTTGGTGCCTCAACACAGACTTTTTCGGTTAAACAGTTTGAGAATTGTTAAACCCCTTAAAGGACCACTCTAGGCACCCAGACCACTTCAGCTTAATGAAGTGGTCTGGGTGCCAGGTCCTTCTAGGGTTAACCCATTTTTTCATAATTATAGCAGTTTCAGAGAAACTGCTATAATTATGAATGGGTTAAGCCTTCCCCCTAATCCTCTAGTGGTTGTCTCATTGACAGCCACTAGAGGCGCTTGCGTGCTTCTCACTGTGAAAATCACAGTGAGAGCACGCCAGCGTCCATAGGAAAGCATTGTAAATGCTTTCCTATGAGACCGGCTGAATGCACGCGCAGCTCTTGCCGCGCGTGCGCATTCAGCCGGCGGGGCGTAACGGAGGCGGAGAGGAGGAGGAGAGCTCTCCGCCCAGCGCTGGAAAAAGTTAAGTTTTTCCCTCTTTCCCCCTTCCAGAGCCGGGCGGGTGGGGGACCCTGAGGGTGGGGGCACCCTCAGGGCACTATAGTGCCAGGAAAACGAGTATGTTTTCCTGGCACTATAGTGGTCCTTTAAGGTGAGCCAGTGCCAGGGACCTCCTAGCATCATAACAATTTAATTTTGATTAAGTTGTTATTGTCTGGAATGTTCTTTTTAACGTTTGTTTAGAATGTGGATGCAGCATTTTGCTAATTGTATCAGTTGGTTCCAGCATATTAAAGATAACACATATTGCACTCCTGTAAGGCTAGCCCTGTAAATGAGGCAGCTGTTCCTTAAAATGCTCAACTGCTCTGCAACACCGGGTTTTGGTTTTCACTATAGACTCCCAGGACAAGATATACCTCTGGGACAGCTAACCAAGCTGTTTCATCTTTCTCATGCTCAAATCCAAGCTTGTAAATGAACTTTATGGTATCCAAGACTACAATGAATAGAGGCAGTAGTAAAATCCAGATGGACAGGGTAGGAGGAGCTAGACACGCTTTCATCTCCAACAGATGTAATTCTGTGCACATCACCTGGTTTGGTATCTGGGAAAGCACAGGGAAATGCAGATCGCACACTACCTAGGTTTGTAGATGCAAGGGGAGGAATCTTTGGACTTACTTGGCACCATCATAAACTGTTTTGTAACTCTCTTCAATGAAGCTTGGTCACCCCATCCCCCCCCCTTCATACATTTTTCAAGTTGGTTACAGGAGTTCCATTGAAATTACAGTGTTATGAAAGCTCTTGAGTGTTTTCTAGTGAGATGGTTGTTCAGCTGCAGACTATGTGGCACCAAGCTGTAGTTTCTGTGTTCAGGTAAGCGAGACATTAAACTGAGATTTTTATGCTCTATTTGTCAGATGTACATTAAAGAAAGGACAGTCAGGATTAATACGTTTAACCCCTGACATTTCCTGGGCTGCCAATCTGCACAGTTATCAGTGCCTTGTGTCTTACTTGAACTTAATGTTGGATTTAAATCTTATTTTAGAATCTGCCATAACATATTCCAATCTACATATGATGCTTTAACTGTTCTGTTTTTGCTATGTTCTGTTTACTGGGAATTGTATTGTATTCTTAAACTATTGTTTCATTTACTTAGGATAGAAAGATAATTTAGAGCACAGTAAAATGTTTGTCTGGTTTTGCTGTTGACTGGCAGCTGTTTTTTTTCGACTTTTTTCCCCCCTTATATTTTGTTTAGAAGATGTAGTAAAATTTAATTTGAACTACTGCATTGTCTGCAACATTCTTGCTAGAAAGCTTTTTTTATTTTTTTTTATTTTTTTTTTAAACCACTTGAAAAATTTATTTTTTGTTGTTGACCATATGAATTTAAATAAATTTTTTTGACCATATGAATTTAAATTAATTTTTTCTCCAGTGATTTTATTTTTAAATTAAATTACATTTTTAAATAAAAAGCTAATTTTGCATAGTATTTATGGTGCTCCTTTAGCTCATGGATGCACACCATTTAATTAAACTGGTACCAAAAGCACCTGTTGTAAACACATTTTATCTTGCTTTATCTGAAAGATTACAGCCCTTTGCAACTATGATTTACTTATTAATGCAGTGACTACTTCTAGAAATTGTGCAATTTGATACTCTTGGTGACAAATATCACAGGCAGCTTTAATTTCTCAATTAGGAAATAAGTTATAATTTTGGATATAATGATGCAATGCTGGTTTCTATCTAAAAAATACAAATGGGTAAGCGTAACTGGATATTTTCCAGAGTTTCTTTTTCTGCTTTTTGTAGTAAAACTTGTCTTAATTTTCTTTTCTTTATAATATGCCAAGTACATCTGTAACCTAAGTTTAAATTTTTTTTTTTTTTTTTAATTGTGCTTTTGTAATCTTGAAAAAATGAAAATCCAGCGCACTCCCTTATCTACTAAATAGCTGTTTTGCTGCTGATCAATTTTGACAGTTTTATTAAACACCTAATCTAGGCAAAAAATAATGGGGGTTTAGTTACATTATATGATAATTCATTGCATAAGCCTGCCACAACGTCAATGTGCCCCATCTTTGGCAGGTCCTACTCTGTCTGCTAAATGAGCTACTCACTTGGGGAAATCCTTCCATCTTGAGTTCTCTGCATTACAAGGCTAAATAGGGTCCTGAGATGAGGCACCTGTGACAGGGAGGGGTGCAAAACCAAGGATCTGGCTAGGTGTTTTTAATAAAATTGTCAAAATCGGTCAGCACCAAAATAGCTGTTTAGTAGATAAGGGAGTGCGCTGGCTTTTCATTTTTACTGTACTTATTGGCCCCCAGCAGCACCCCATTTAAGTATGTTCAGGTGAGTGCAGCCAAACCCTTGCTTTTGTAATCTTTCCACAATAATATTAGTCTATATACCACAACTTGGATATAACCTTTAAAAATAAATATAGAATTGTAGAATTGCTAGCAACGTTATAGGATAGAAGAAAAAACAATTTAAAAATAGATACCTCCGCCATGGAAAGATTAGCTAGTTTGGTATCAAGTCCCCCAGAAGGCCCGTTCCATTCATACTGTGACCATGTCACCAATGAACCGAAGGTGGGTGTAACAGTGGTGTTAAAATTAGGGATGGACCAATACTGTTTTTTTTTTTTAGAGCCAATACCGATAATCTTTGAACTTTCAGGCCGATAGCCGATAACTTACCGATTCGGGTATTCTGTACATTTACTGTTTTGAAAAATTAAACCATTTCTACACAAATCTGCTGTTAACTGAACATGTTAATTAATTTGTTTGCAAATCTTGTGTGTATAGTGGATGCAGTGTGTGTATAGTGAAGGCAGTGTGTCTGTGTAGTGTGTGTATATAATGAATGCTGTGTGTGTGTGTATTTAATGAATGCAGTGTGTGTATAGTAAATGCAGTGTTTGTGTAGTGTGTGTATATAATGAATGCATAGTGTGTGTGTTTGTGTAGTATGTGTGTATATATAATGAATGCAGTGTGTGTTTGTGTAGGTATGTAATGAGTGTAAAATGGGGGGGGGTATTTAAAATTTTTTAACATGATTTAAAAAAAAAATAATTTTAAATCTAATTTTTTAACATTTAGTTTTAGTCCCCCCTCCCTGCTTCTTACATGGCCAGGGAGGGGGGATATGGCATTCCCTGGTGGTCTTGGGGCATGGACTCCGCATAGGGGGCCCAGCAATACTCTTACTGACCTTCACAGCAGCTCCCTTCAGCTCCCATGTCTAACTTTTGTGGCCTGTGTGCCGCGCGTAGCTTTACCATGGTAACTTGTGACAACGCTCTGACTGCCTTGGGACTCGCAAGATTTAGACAGGAGCTGAAGGGAGCTGCTGAGAAGGAAAGTAAGAGTGTCCTGCGGGCCCTTCAGGAATGCCAGACCCATGACAACCGTCCCTGATGGTGGCCCTGGTCTTCATTATCGGCACTATTGGTATCTTTATAGGCCAATACCGATATTGCTGAAAGTTCAAAATTTTTGCCGATGATAATCGGTCGATCTCTAGTTAAAATAATAGTGTTATAGTAATGGAGATGCATTTATTTCACTTTACCACAAAATGTTTTTGAACAGAGGTGAAAGAAAAAACAGCATGGTGCTGGCATTAATCTATTGATGGCTATCTTTCTCTAAATATGGGGTCAAAATGTCATCTTGAAATGGGGTGGCTAATGATGATATAATACAGGACAGCATTAAGGATGCTTATTTGCCTCCGTAAATTGGGTTACCTAGTATTACAACCTGCCCTTCCTTGTTAATTTGTATTCTTGCATGGTGAGACTTTACATATAAAGGAGACCACGCTGTTTTGTGTTTTTTTATTTTTTTTTTCATTTCATTTACTATTAGTTGACATTTATTAAATGTTAGTTATTAAGTGAATGTGTTGCATAATGCTCGAAAAGTGTTTTTAGTTTTAGTTTAACTTCTAAAAATGTAGCCTTCATGGCATGGGAAAATGAGTGTAGCCTGCAAAATGAGAGCTTTTGCAACTACTGTAACCAACATATGGTGGACTCTTCCTTCTGGGCTCATTATTAAAGGAATAGTCTAAGCACCAAAATCGCTTTAGAGTAAAGTGTTTCTCCAAGCAACATGACCACTTCAGTAATTTGAAGTCATGGTGCCAGGAGTTTGTATGTGTAGCATATTACTATGTAGTGTTGCACAGTTTCATTTGCTTCCAGAGGTAACTCCAAATCTGGCAGCATCCTTAACCAGCCCAAAACTGGTTCTGGGTAAGCGAATGCCAGTTCTGTGCATATATAGTGTAGTATATCTGATGCCAGTGATTATAAATAAGAGAGGTCCAAATTCGATTTAATTTTATTTTATTTGTAAACTAAATAATAAAGCCAAAATTATAGTATAAAACACTAACATGTTTCACCTTCACATAGGCTTCTTAAAAGTGTTGAGTATTGAACACTTTGAAAAAGCCTGTGTGAAGGTGAAATGTGTTAGTGTTTTATTGGTGATTTATACTATACTTTTGGCTTTATTATTTTGGCTATAAATAAAACTATGATTTGGACTTCCTGGTTTTATCTCTGAAGATTTTTGCCTGGAGGGTTCATACTTCGGTTTCCTAAGATGCCATATAGGACTGAGCATAACTTTGCTATGCTCTCTGTTTGTGAGTATGTATACCTCCTTCTTTTTTTTTTTTTGCTGTACAGAGAGCACTAACTTCTTTTTTTTTTTCTTCTTCTTCATTTTATATGATGGTGTACTCTCACTGTGATAAAACGGCACATTGAACGAGACCACTTCTATGAAGCGGACCACCACACACTGCTGACCGTCCCAAAGATACATTTCCACATAAGATTAAAACAGAGACCAAGATCAGCATATCCACAGACGGGGATTGTACCGTCCAAGCGCATATAGCTGGAGCTGATTTCAAGCTCCAGAAGATTGCAAGTGCATTGCCATATTTTTATTTGAGTTGAGGACACTTGTAAGGCACTGCTTCCCTGCGTTCCCTTTCAATATCTCTGTTTTGGGAAGTCCAAGCTGCCACGTAAACTTTGAACAAGTGCTAGAAATACCATCTTTTTATTTAAAAGAACAATTAAGCATGCTCGCAGGCCATGGTTCAAGACATAAATACATAACACATTAAGAATTCAATTTGTGATAACATGTCACAAAAAGGTAGGCCATTCAAAACATATGATACAGTGATAAATTGTTGTGACATCTTGAAAAGATGTCCATTAACATTATTAAATGTTGTTCGCTCCTTCATGTGGGCTATCTCATCCCCAGGCAAAAAAAAAACCTAATCTTATAAAACACCATCTTGCATGTATTCACAATATTCCTCCTATAACTCCCAAACCTTGTAGAATTTTGGTAAGGTGTTTGGTAGTGACTTTTTTTCAGCATAATAATGTACACTGCCACACTGCAAAAACTGTTTAGTAATGGTTTGAGGAACGTGACAAAGCGTTCAAGGTGCTTGCTTGGCCTCCAAATTCCCCTGACCTGATTGAGTATCTGTGGGATGTGCTGGACAATAAATCTGATCCATGGAGGGCATATTTAATCCCACCTCGTAACTTGCAGGACTTGCTGCTAATATCTTGGTGTCGCATACCACAGGAAATGTTAAGAGGTCTTATGGAGTCCATTCCTCAACACCTTTTAGCAGCACAAGGGGGACCTACCCAGTATTAGGTTTTAATTTTGTGGTTGATCAGTGTAAATAGGTGTCCTACATTATAGTCAGGTTAACACTCCAATATAAACATTGCTGTTCTTGTAGAGTTTTCAGCTGCAGGTTTAAAACCATGGATTGCTGGAAATGTTGTAAACTGACAATTAAATGTAAATTTTAGGTTAAAATGGCCCAATTGAGATAAATATTTCCAGCAAAGGTATTATGACATAGGTGGCTAGCCTGGTCAATCCCAGAAATTGCTGGTATAGTGAAAAACGCAACATGATTGGTTACTGGTGTCACATAGAAAATTGTGATGCAATTTCAAGATGACTAAATACTCCATCTGTTGTAGCATGGCTTGATAAAACATGTCTGTTGATAATTACTTTTTAAAAACCGTTTTGTGGAAACATAACTGTCAACTTTTTACAAACTACTGTTAAAAAACATATTAGAACGTGGTAGACTACATTTCTCTAGATACTGTTTTATTTTAATCCTCCAGACCAGAGAATTAATTGCTTAAAGTAACACTATAGGGTCAAGAACACAAACCTGTACACCTAAATAAACGGAAATAAAACAGAAAATGTATTTGTGTAGTGTATCAAAATAATCTGGATACCTTCCAGATTCTGTGGAAGAGAACAACTTCAGTGATCAGAGGCTATAGCATGGTGAAATATTTTTTTGGGACTTTTAGAAGTATCAAGTTCCCTTTTATCCAATAACTGTTCTAAAACAAAATAGGGAATGTGTAAAAAAAAAAAAAAAAACAACAAACAAAAAACCCCCATAAATATAGCATACAGTTTTTTCAGTATTCTACAGCAAATATGTAATCTGATATGCAAACACAGGCTAATTAATATGAATGTTGGTCTGAGATAGCCACATCCTAGTGACCTCTCCTACTGACAGTTTCTAGAGTGTAACCTCTGTTGTACAGGTTGCTCTATAAGTGTGCTATATAAATAGTGTTCATTATATCCAGTGACCGTTGCCTGTCTTTTTATTGGCCATGTCTGGGTGCAGATGTTTCTGTAGTAACAGTCTGGGAATTTAGCAACTTAGGACGTTGTGACCTTTCTACATAAATCTTTTCGTAAATCGCGATAACTATAGCTTTGTTTATCTCTAGGTATGTGTAGTTTATGGTTCAGACATAAAATCTTTCAAGGGTGGATACACAACTGAGTGTTCCCACCTGATTGCTGCCTTTTTGCTGGGATACAGAAGAAGCCTTAATTGAATAGAGAACACTGCTTGAATTTTATTGGGTCTTTACATTTGCTAAAAGCCCTCTCTTGAACTTCTTTATATTGTCTATTGGTTTATGGCAGCAATTTGTTATACCTCACTGCATTTTGTTTGCATTAAATGTCTGCTTCCTCTTTCTTTCTTCCTTTAGTTTTGCATTACCAGTAGGGATGCACTGAAATGAAAATTCGGGGCCAAAACCGAAAATTCAGGATGCCCTTGGCAGAAAAACGAATGACTTTTTTCCCCATATGATTTTGATAGGATAGGCCCATTTTTGGCCGAATATTTCGGTGCATCCCTACATTACAGTTGTACAATCACAGACACACATGACAGGCTATGTTGTACAATCACAGACACACATGACAGGCTATGTTGTACAATCACAGACACACATGACAGGCTATGTTGTACAATCACAGACACACATGACAGGCTATGTTGTACAATCACAGACACACATGACAGGCTATGCTGTACAATCACAGACACACATTACAGGCTATGCTGTACAATCACAGACACACACACACACTCTCTCTACAGGCCATGCTGTACAATCACAGACACACACACTACAGGCCATGCTGTACAATCACAGACACACACACACTACAGGCCATGCTGTACAATCACAGACACACACACTACAGGCCATGCTGTACAATCACAGACACACACACACACACACACACTCTACAGGCCATGCTTTACAATCACAGACACACAGACACACACACACACACACTCTCTCTCTACAGGCCATGCTGTACAATCACAGACAGACAGACACACACTCTACAGGCCATGCTGTACAGTCACAGACAGACACACACTCTACAGGCCATGCTGTACAATCACAGACAGACACACACACTACAGGCCATGCTCTACAATCACAGACAGACACACACACATTACAGGCCATGCTGTACAATCACAGACAGACACACACGCATTACAGGCCATGCTCTACAATCACAGACACACACACTACAGGCCATACTCTACAATCACAGACAGACACACACACTACAGGCCATGCTCTACAATCAGACACACACACATTACAGGCCATGCAGTACAATCACAGACACACACACACACACACTCTATAGGCCATGCTGTACAATCACAGACAGACAGACACACTACAGGCCATGCTCTACAATCACAGACAGACACACACACTACAGGCCATGCTCTACAATCACAGACACACAAAGACAGGCCATTCTGTACAATCACACAGACAGACACACACGACATAGGCCATGCTGGCACAATCACACACACACACACACTCTATAGGCCATGCTGTACAATCACAGACAGACACACACTCTACAGGCCATGCTGTACAATCACAGACAGACACACACACTACAGGCCATGCTCTACAATCACAGACAGACACACACACTACAGGCCATGCTCTACAATCACAGACAGACACACACACATTACAGGCCATGCTCTACAATCACAGACAGACACACACACATTACAGGCCATGCTGTACAATCACAGACAGACACACACACATTACAGGCCATGCTGTACAATCACAGACAGACACACACGCATTACAGGCCATGCTGTACAATCACAGACAGACACACACGACAGGCCATGCTGTACAATCACAGACACACGACACAGGCCATGCTGTACAATCACAGACAGACACACACGACATACAGGCCATGCTGTACAATCACAGACACACGACATAGGCCATAACAATCACCACAGACACACACGATTACAGGCCATTCCAGCCAATCACAGACAGACACCCATTACAGGCCATGCTGTACAATCACGACAGACACACACGACACAGGCCATGCTGTACAATCACAGACAGACACACACGACACAGGCCATGCTGTACAATCACAGATGACACACACACGCATTACAGGCCATGCTGTACAATCACACACAGACACACACGCATTACAGGCCATGCTGTACAATCACAGACAGACACACACGCATTACAGGCCATGCTGTACAATCACAGACAGACACACACGCATTACAGGCTATGCTGTACAATCACAGACACACACACACGCATTACAGGCCATGCTGTACAATCACAGACACACACACATTACAGGCCATGCTGTACAATCACAGACACACACACATTACAGGCCATGCTGTACAATCACAGACAGACAGACAGACACACACATTACTGGCTATGCTGTACAATCACAGACAGACAGACACACACACACACACACACACACACTCTACAGGCCATGCTGTACAATCACAGGCAGACAGACACACACATTACTGGCTATGCTGTACAATCACAGACAGACAGACACACACACACACACATTACAGGCCATGCTGTACAATCACAGACACACACACACACACATTACAGGCCATGCTGTACAATCACAGACAGACAGACACACACACACATTACAGGCCATGCTGTACAATCACAGACAGACAGACACACCTACACATTACAGGCCATGCTGTACAATCACAGACAGAC